TATTCAAAAGATGGGTTGACATGGTCCTCAAGAATATGATTTAGTGTTGTGGTGGGGTTTTTTGGTGCTTTTTTTTTATTGCTTATTTCTTATTTATTTTTTTGTTAGAGTTAAGTTGATGGTTGGACTAGATGATCTTTAAGGTCCCTTCCAACCTAGACGATTCTATGATTCTAAAACATGAAGGTGTGGAGTAGGAAGTGACCCTTCGGTTGTTGGGAATGCTGGCGATATGTTAGGCTCCAGGGAGTGCATGTTCAAAATTTAGCTTAAAAAAGCCAGTTGAAATTTCATCTGCAGCCTCTGCCTTCTATTTGTTGCATGGATTTACTGCATGAGTGTGGGTACAAATTTTCCTCCTGCCTCTCCATATGCCTATTTCAACTTCAGTCAAATGTGTGCAGAAACATGGTGTTTTGCCCCTACTTCTTGGAAGAAACTCCTTCAGAGTCTGTCCTTAGGTGAAGCAGTTTGTGTAGACAGACGGGGTGCTGTGATCCTGTGGTACCTTCCTCGTATAGGGCCTGGTATCAGGCAGCTACAGTTTGCTGAGCATGAACCTTCCTTATCTTTTTTAATAAAGCCTGATGTTAGCTTGCAGCCTTCAGTGATAAGGATATATTTCCCCCGACAACTTTACACTTGTTTGCTGAAGAGTGGAAACTTAGAGCACCTATGGGAAAGCTGTGTCACTGAAGGTGCTTTGGCTTTTAATTCACAGAGGAAAGGCTTTAGGTCTATCAAAGGACAGTGCACCTTGATGAGGGTGACTTTTATCTCTTGGAACTTAGGTTAGTGACTTCTAATTCATGTCCCTTATCCTCCTTTCTTTTTCTTCCCCTCCACCTGGCAGTTCCTTGACATTTGTAATGGCACAGTCATTTATGTATCCATGCAACCATAGTAACAGTGCTTTAGATGACAGGAATTTAATTGGCCAAGGACAATGAGGTGCTGTTAGGCAGCTGGGACTGGGAGGGCCATTTCTGCTGTTTCATGGGAAATAGGAGGGGGGGTTACATTCTGTGAAGGATGAGCAGAGCAGGAGGGTGAAATTTAAAGGTAAAATTGTTGTTTTGTCTTTGACAAGCTCCTAAAGCCCCCTGTGGGAAAACACTCAGAGGGAACTTTTCTTCTGACTTATTTTCTTAGTTATTTTTCTTCAGTATACAGAAGTCGTGCAAATAATGCAAAATGGAATATTTTTTTTTAATCTACAGATTTGAACAAAATGGGGTGTGTGTGATCAGGACACCTGTTTTTCACTCAGTAGAAAAATGTTTCTTTTGTACTTGGGCTACTACCTGAGTAAATTGTTTTGGAGCAGTGAAATGAAGGAGTGGTGGTAGTAGACTCTTCAAAGATTTAATTGTTAAAAGGAATGGTTAATCTGTATTTAAAACTCTTCACTGGTTTCTGAAGTAAGTTACGAGTCAGAATACGTGCATGAGAACTGAAGAGGACAAAACATAGGATTTAAGCCTTTAATGTTTAGCATCTTTGAGAGAAGGGCACACTGGGGCTGTGTACCCAAAGATTTAAGACCTGTCCAAATTAAGTTTATAATTCCTAAGCTTTGGAATGAGATAAACTTGTTTTGCTGATTGTATTTTTTTTCCTGAGATTTTTAATCAGCTCTAGGTTGTCTTTGTAACTACAAAACTGATGTGACTGTATCTAAAAGCTTCCCTCATATTACTTTTCAGTAAAAATCATATATCTCTTACCTCCCCTTATATTATCTCCAGTATAACAACAGTAATTTCTTGTTATGCTATCTCAAAGGAGCACTGTTGCCTTAAAAGCAGGTCAACTTAAAATGGACCGAAAAGCATCAGAAAACAATAGGCTTTGTGTTTCAGCTGCTCTGTACTTTTTAGGGAATTTGACAGCTGCACTGTCTGATATTCAGAATGACGAAATGATTTTCTTTGTGTGAACAGCTCACAAACTTTTGCAAAGCTTCCATGCAAAATTGTTGTAGTGAGAATTAAGCTCATTGAATCCTATCAAATAGAAAAGTGGGTAAAAAATAATTTCTCTCTCCTGGTCTGAGTTTGTATCATTGCTTGTAACCTTGTGTTCACTAGTGACAAGGGGGTAAGGTGATATATTGCCATGTGTTGCAATATCTGGATTCCATTAAATTTTAAACCTTAATTTGGAGGACTTCCTGAATGAGGAGTTAAATCACGGGTGGGTGAACATGAAAAAGTTGAAGGTTCATCTTGTATAGCTGCCGAAAAGCAAACTTTCACATGGGATTACCAGCACTGCAGGTATATCACAGCATTGGGCTGTGATATATTGGGAATTATCTTTTGGTAAGTGGTGTTACATCTGCTTGATCTGAATTGAAATGGCAAAGTTTGGGGGTGGGGTGGTAGTGGTTGTGAAGAAACAAATAGTTATAGAAATAGTCCCTGCCATGAGGCTTCTCTCAAAAGGGTTGATAATTCCTTTGAATTAGGAGGGAAGGTATGGTTCCTTTTGCACTCTTTCCAAACCAGTTCACTGGGCTATAATTAAGCTCAGAAGTACAGGAAAGATGTTGCTTTGCTTTTTGGGGTATATTGTTCTTACCCAGCTGTTGATTTATAGCTTGAAGCCAATAGAGAATTCTTATGCTTCGATTATCCTTTCTACAGTGAGACACTTCAGAAAAGAATGACTAAATATGTGGATGTGGGAGGAGAAAATTAAAGCTGTCTCCTTGCTGAGAGCCTTTTGCAAAAATGTTTACCTGTCTTGGCTAGGATGGTAAAACTATATACTGTGCAATGGAGAAGCAAGCAAAGTGTTCTCTGTGAGTTTCTGGGTATGTGCCCACATGAGATGCACATCTGACATCTGGGCAATGCACATACTTTAAATCTGTAGCTGAAAGTCACAAATATTGTAGGAGTTTTGTGATTTCGTTTGTCCAGCCTGAAAGGCTAACTTCTATATTACTTGTTCAAGGATTTCATAAATACTAATCAGGAATTACTTTCTTCTGCAAGCTTCAGCCTGCTCTCCTTTCTATCTTAAATGTAAGGAATAGTTTTCTGCCTTACATTCTGAACAGGCAGCAAAAATAGTGGACTGTGTGTGATGTCTCTCAAATGCTAAGTGGGCCACCAAGACAGCTCTTTTGTGTTTCAGAAGGATTGTGTTCAATAAGATGGGAGTCCTTGAAGACCTCAGAGAAGTTTGTGAAAACCAGGGTGGTTGTTGAAGATATTAAATGAAAATAAGACTCTGGCCTTTTTTCGGAGGAAACTGCAAACCTCTTTGGCAAAACTCTGATTTCATAGGGGTTCTTCCAAGAAAACAAACTAATTGTAAGGTTGCTTTGTGGGGAGGAAGACAGGAATTATAGGGATTCGGGTCCTAAAAAGTAAACATGGGGGCTTGTTAGAGCCATTTATTTATAAAGATTTGCTGAAGATAGGCTGTTTAGTGCTGGAGCCTGTAGCTCATGTCTATTACTGAGGTACTTGCTGGTTCTACTTCCTCCCCTGCTGGCCTGACTGTATTTTGTCATTCCTTGAAAGGACGAAGACAAGATTACATACAAACTTCTCGACCTTTTCAAGTATTTTCTCTGTTAATATTTTGCGGTGTTAAAAGTAATCTTTTTTTTTTTTTGGCAAGGACTTAATTTATTCAAGTCAGTAGTCTTGTTACCATTGAGTTATTCTTTCTGTAATTGAGTTGTAAAATATAAGTAGGTGTAGGTAAGAATAGCTATAATTACTTTATGCAAGCACAGAGTATGTTTAGGGAAGAAAAAAATCTGTTAAAGTGTTTTTTCCAAGAAACTTGGAGAGAGTATTGTTGAAATGGAAAGAGAAGGTAGAGAATGCTTCTTGCACAGCAGAAGGAAGTGTTTTCTTCCAAGAAATAGGATCCTCCTTGTAGTGCTTAAAAAGGTCAAGATCAGGTAAAAACAATCAAAACACACAAACAAAAAAACCTCCTCCTAATCCCAAACAAGTACAGTTCATGGAAAAATCCTTTTGTGGTGTTTTGGTACTATGCTTTTCCCCCCAAAATAGGCTTTAGTGCCTAAGAATTATTGCTTTTTTGGAATGAAAAGATGTGATTTGGTTCTTTTTGATACAGTGTCGTGATGTGCAGATCTGTGTATGGTGTGGTAAAGGTGTAGTTACAAGCACGTGCATGTATACCTGAACTGGTTTTATTGGAACAGTTTAGGTCCTGCCAGCAGTGAAGCCACATCATTTTTAGCACATCCTGTGTGCTCGGGCAAGTGTCCCAGGTGGGACTGTGCAGTTTGTGCTAAAGTTGTGTGGTGGTACCCAGGTAAAGCAGATTAAAGCTATCCCAGGGATATCTGCTTTTTACACTGTAGTCTGTTACCTGGAGGTGGAATCAGATCTATCTACTGCTTGGAAGTACAGCTCTTTCAAAGAAATGAAGCTATACAAATGATAAGCAGGAACCCTGATGAGTCCTTGGAGCAGGTGGAGGCTGCTAGAAGGGGAATAAGGCTGAATCTATACAATACATGTGCAGGGGAAAAAAAATAAAATGCCCCAAAATACTGATTTAAAGAGGGAGAGTGACATCTTGTGGGCTCAGCATGCAACTCGCCAACAGAAATTTGTGGTTGGCTACTTCATTGTTAGTAAGAGTTCATTTTAACTGCTTTTTTTGGTCCCGCTGCCTAGAAGTAGGGGGCATATGAACAGGCAGAAGTTCAATGTTTGGATGTTAAGCCATAGGAAACTGTTCTGGAATGGCATGATGAAACACTGTATAGGCAATGTATTTTGAAAAGTTCTTAGGAAAGTGTCACTAAGTGAGGTTGAGGCATCAAATGAGTCATGCCTGGTGTAAATCAAATATGAACTTGCTGCCTTCTGTTGTTTTCTCTTAACACCCCCAAATTTGAAGTATAAACCTTGTGGTTTTTGTTGTTCTGGCTTTAAAGCAGAGTGTTTCATAGGCACTTACACAAATCTAATTGCTTCTGTTTTCCTGTTTCATTGCAGTAGTCAACAGAGCAGCCAGCAAAGCAGCCACGATGATGACTTGTCCCGATTCTTGAGCCCTCATATGCGTGAAGACAGGTAAGTCTGTTGGCAGCTGAATTGGGGGAATGCCTGGAACCACTCAGTGAAATTACATGGGCTGGGCTGGTTGAGGTCCTTAACTCATTTTCCCTGTATTGTTCAGAGTTGTTTAACAAGTGTGATTTACATTGTTCTTACCAATGTCTACAACCCCAAAATTTTCATCTGCTTAAAAGCAGAACTTGTGGGACAAATGCATCAAACTTCTGAATTTTCTTGAGACTCATTCCCTGAAATTGTAGCTGGTTTAGCTTCACTTAATTTGCTGTGTATTGATCATTATCAGCTCTGATCTTTAAATACACAAGTGAAAATTCATGTGTGGTTCTTATGCTCAGCAAGGACAATATTGAGCTTTGCTGTTGTATTTCCCTTATGCTCTGTTGGGATGGTCCTGAGGTATCTAGAGCTCATGGGTTGCAGCTGGGTGAGAACTGCTATGATGTTCCAGAAGAAATCTAAGTTTCTTGTACTTTGGGCTGATTAATGACTACCTCGAATTGCAGCAGTGGCACAAAAGCTGTTGAAAAATGAATGCTTATTTTTTTTCCATGATTTATTATTGTTGCTTTGCTCAGAGCCGTATGATTAAGAATTTTGCTGTATCTTGAAATTCATCTTTTGAGCCTGAATCTGTTTCATGTTCTTCATCTGTGCATGAAAAGTGAGCTCTTGGCTACTGTCACCTTTCTATCCCGGGCCTGTTTCCCTACTAACATCCTGGGGTCCAGTATTACATCAGGACTTTGGTTTCTGAAATAATGTTTTTTATTACACGTACGGTAGAGTCATGTTGTGTTTTCCATAGCTCATCTTGTGCCTATGGGTTATAGTGAGCCCACAGGAGGGTATATGCTGTGATCTGGGAACAGCTTCCTTTGTGCTGCTGCATAGTGGATTGCAAGAAGCATCTGACTGGTGTCTTCCACTCGGCATGCTTGTATCCAGGCATGGTCCCTCAGAGCACTGTTTCATGTCTCTTACTCAGTCCTTCCACATAAGCTGTCTCTGAGGTCAGAGGTCTTTCTTACTAACTGTCTGGTAGGGCAAATGCTTCCTGAACTCAGCTTCCCCACTATGATGCCAAAGGCCAATAGATTGAGTAAGAACCGAGTAGCAGCTGACGGAGCATCTGAGGAATTGACTCACTTGAGAGAACATCCTGACCTTGAAGAGCTAATTAATATCCCAACAGAGTCTGCCTCAGAATTAGCACTTGGTAGTTGTAGCTAACCTTTTCCTCCATATGTTGCACTCCAATTATCAGTCTCTCTGGTGCTGAGGAGCCTGGCATAATTGACTAGTGGGGAGTGGTGTTTCCAACCAGGAAATAAAGCATCTGACAGCAAAGCAGATGGGTACTTAGATCCTACCTGGGCTTCCTCTGTGTAGTGTATACTGGTATACCATTTGTTCTGGGATTTCATAGGTTAAACACTGTTAGGCTTCATTAATACTCAAATGGGGGATTTCTGAGCATAGTGAGAAGGGAATAATTTGGAAGTACTGCTTGTTTCAGATGTAGACCAAACAGGAGCGTTTAGGCTGGTGCTGAGAACAGGTTCCTGGTGGGAAGGGACATGTTTCAGCTGGAGGGCAGTCAGAGCTCAGGCTTATTTCTGCAGAGCCAGGGTGATGGTGAGCCTGCTGACCTCTTATTGGGGAGGCGACATTCCTGCTGCCTCGATTTAATTACAAATAACTTCTTTTTTCATGGAGGATACTGGGCCAAAACAGCCATGCCATGGCTAGTAAATTAACTTGTCCTCTTTGGGTTTTGGTTGCTTTTGGTTTTTTGGCCTTTGCTAATGTTATTGCATCAGGCTCTGCTGGTAAAGTCTTCCTTTGGATGCTGGTGGCTTGTGTTTATGAAACTTAACCAAAAAGTAACTCAAACACATTTTGAGTTTCATGTAAGGTGTGAAGCTGGACATGAAAGAATCTTGAATCCCTAGACTCTTGAAAATTGGATGACTTTCTCTGCTCTTATGGTGGCATTTTTGACCACTAACAACCACACATTTGGAGTGCTCTGCTTCTGTTAAAGATCTACAGGCAATTCTGTTCACTTGATCAATTGACTTATACAGCAGCTCTTAAAAAAAAAAAAAAAAACACACACAAAAAACCCCAAACAAAACCAAAACACAAACCCATACAAAAACCCAAATCAACAAACTAACCCAAAACAAAACCAAAAAAAGCGACCTCTGGAAGGACACAATGACCCAGGGTTTTAGCAGTCCTGCAAGTTGTGACAGAAGTTAAGCAAAGTAGGGCAGAAGAGGGGAGAGCAAAAAAACCCATGTGGTATGTACTGGAAGGTGCACCTTCTCTTGGCATGCTGCCGCTGACATCAGGTGGAAGGAGCCTGTGCTCTACTTGAAGGATCAGAGCAGAGAGCAAGTGAGGATCTGCACCAACCTCCGTACATCTGGGAAAGTGCTGAAAGAAGCTACCCTAGCTAAAAGTAAGGGGATGCTGAGTCGCGAAGTTGGCTCTGGGATAAAAACCAGAGAGGAATACATAGCTGAGGATGGCTGAGATCTGGACTAGGCATAGCCAATATCTTCAGTGCTTGCCTGCTCTTACTGTAAAGGATGGTACCAGGGTATGTTACCAGTGGAGTTAACTTCTCGGTGATGGATTTCCAAGGACCATGCTCCAATTCTCAGGTCCTTTCAAAGAAGATTAAGAATTTTGTCCTGCTGCTGGCAGATGCTTTTGGTTCTCTCTAGCAATTTTTTTTTCTTGAGATGTGGGTGCTGCTCTTGGCTTGTGCATTGTGAAGTACGGCCATGGTCCAGAACCCATACCCTGAGAAGGTGTCCTGCAGCACAGCAGTGAAGCAGGTCTGCCATCTGCGTGTATCTTCTCTGAGGAAAAAGCTTTCCTTCTGCAAAGTCATGTAAGTTGTCATGTGTCTATTGTGCCTGGCTCTTTATGCTGAGGGGGAGCCTATGTAGATTGTGCTTTGTCTTGGGGTAACCTTGGGCTTTCATCTGGATTAAGTCCAATTTCACGAGCCTGCTTCTGCTTGATCCAAGGACTTTGTCTTTGTCATGACACTGAGGCACCTATCGGGTTTAGGATGCCAAGTATCTTTAAGAATAAAAGTTAAGATACTGAACTGGAGGAAAAAAGCCCCAGTCCTTAGATGCATACTCAGTCTAATGAGGAGGCAAACTGGTGAAGGGGGAGCAGCATGGAAAGCACAAAGATGGAAAGTAATAGGCTGCAGGGCAATAGGGGCGAGAAAAGTGACTGGCAGTTTACAAGAGATGATATCAAAATGATTTACGTTAGAGATCATATCAAAATGAAGGCAATGGGGAAGAGCAGTTATCTTAAAGTATCTCAGAGTTTGATATGTCATACGTTTTTGGCTTCAGCTTGATTAGCCCCTTAATCTATGCAGTACCTTATTCTGATGGTTCCAGGGCTGCAGGGCTTATTTTTCCTTTGCGTAAGCTAGTTTCTCCAAAAAAAAAAGGATCAAAAAAATCACAAGAGAGCTTGCAAGATTAGGAAGTGGTTTAAGATATAGGCAAGTTTAAGAAATTTTGTCCGCTGCTTGAATTCCCACGAAGTTGCGTAAAGATCAGAAAGGAGGTAAAACTTTGAAAGTGTGCCAACATTTGCATCCTTGAGGTGTATGTAAAAGGTCAGGATAAATTCCATCTTCTATCTGTGTACCCAGGGCTTGCTTATGCTGCATCTTCATAGCCTGTGTCCCGTCCCTTTCCCCTTGATACGAAGAAGTTGGCACTAACGTACTGTGCCCATTTGCCTATGGGTGCAAAGTTTGCTACCTCTGCAGCTTCAGGGAGGGTGGGGGGTTTTTTTCCATTGCTTGGGGCAGCAGAAGAACAGGTGAGGACTGAGAGCAAAATGTGTCCACGCGTGCTGGGTCTGTTCTTAAAAGGGGAGGGTTGAGGCTGACAGAGCCCAGGGACCCTTGTTTGTGTGTCTGGATGTGATGAATCTGCAGGGAACAGAGCGCAGTAGCTCTCTGCCCTGAGCTGTGCTAACCCACCCAGCATGGTATAGCCCTCCTGTGTTATTAAGGGGAAAAGCTTACTGGAGTAAAAGGGGGGAATGGATGCTGTTATAAAGGGGATGACTAAGTAGAAGTCAGCTGCTGCTTTCTATGGTATGAGTGTAAAATTTGCAGAAGGCTAGTTCACTGCTCTTGCCAACAGTGCTAACTCTAAGGGATGCCTGAGTTTGAGTCCTTGGTAGGGAGGGTCCTGATACTAGTGCAATCCCTGAGTGGCTTGTATCTATTATGGATGCCTGATGCATCACCTTTAGGGAGATTTTCAAAACTGGTGCTAAAGACCTTGTGGAGGCTAATGAGCTCCCAGAGGGTCTCAGACCAAAACTCTGGTGCTTTTGTTATAACTTTAGGGTGAGTTTGGATCTGGATCTAGCTCCAAACTCAGAGTCAGTTGGACTTAATACTAAATAGAAAGCTTAATGAGAATGGCACAAGTCTCCTTTGTCACCTAGGAAAGATGGTTAATATTTAGATTCAAAGCTACTATCAGTTTTCCTCTCTCACCTTCTGGTTGCTGCTGCTTCCTGAGCCCCAGCATTGATTCTGTGCTGTAGAAGACAAGAACAGCTTAAGATCAGATCTCTTCCACTTGGATTGCCAGATTGGCTACTGTCAGCAGAATTACTATGAATGGAAATATCACCTGCTCTCTGCTCCTTGTGTGCCAACATTGGTTTTGTTTGAAGATGGGTTGTTGTTAATTGCAGAGTATGCCAATGTTCTGCTGTCAGTGGAGGTAAGGCAGACAGTTCTTTTTCTGGATAGTCAGTATTGGATTTGATTCATCAATGTTGTGCTCCATTTGTAAGCTCTTCCATTCTTGTTCTCCTTTAATCTTAAGGAGACTGAATTGAGAGCACTTTGATTTGAAGCAAGGGTGATAGTTCTGTTGTTCCCTCCTCCACAACTGAGGTATATGGAAGGACAGATACTTCTC